CGGCTTATGACCACACAATAGCTACATATCCGCAATTTCCTGCTCCCTCCGAAGAGAAACACAAAGTAAAAATGTGATAAGGCAAGTAACCCAGACTGTTTCGATAAGTGTAATGGATGGTTTATTTGATATTATAGGGAATGCAAGATGAATGAACATAAATATTGTTGTAGATAATCTTCATTGCGCCAGTTATTATCATGCATCAGTGCTGAATAAACTAGCTATCAAACAGGCCATTGCCACTTATCTAGAACAATCCCGGATTTTTACTTTCTATCGGTGTTTATATCTGATTTCTGGATTTTTCGTGAGTATGAAACACTTAAGCCCAACTCTACTCACTTTTCAAATCTGAAACTAGAGGCGCCTTTTCGCGTGAGCATCAGAGAGCTGTTTTTGTATCTGCTGTACGTAACCAGAGAAGCAGCTATGGAGATGAATTGACAGCTACGCGGTTAGGCGTCGATGATGGGAAGAGAATATGTTGTGCCTGCCGCCAATTTTGCATGTTCTGAAGGAATCGAAAAGCTTTGCGATTGCTACGGGCTGTATTGTTGGTAAAAAACCTAGTTTTTCTATATAGTTCCGTACCAATGAAAACAGTTGTAGGTCATTTCGGCATTGCTCCAGTTACCACACTGCTACGTCGAATGAGGCTGCATCACTGTCGCAACGCGGTGTTCCAAAGTCGCCGTACGAGTAACGTCAACTATGATTGCGATACAAAAAACGTTCGTAAATGTGGATTCGAGCGCCTTCAGTAAGATATATGGACCATTTGTGCAGCCGCAACTGGAATACGCCGTACAGGAATGGCGACCGTGGCTTCGGGAAGATGTGGGCATTCTTGAAGACGTACAATCACGTGCCGCAAATGTTGCTCCTGAATTCAAAAATTTGATGGACGAGCAGCGTTAAGCCGCCTCAAACCTCTTCCCCCTCAATTGCAGACAGGACAGAGATGACGTTGTAATAACGTTTCAGTTGTAAGCGTGAGTCGATCTTGATGGGGATCGAGAAAATCTTCTCGAAATGACCGAAGACGATTCTCAGACGTGAATGCAGTGAATGCTTTGCCCACCATTGTGTCACAAATTCTCCACCTTTTTACCACTTCTGTTTCACTATTAGCCGTGCGTATTTAGCAAACTAAATGGAGTTTTCAGGGGTTTCTATCATTTACTCCAAATACACGAATGATTGGTTGGTTGTTAGTGTGATCGTTTAGCCAGCGCGCTCTGCAAGTGCGGCAGTTTTTCACATGCCGTTCGCAGTCGCGATGGACCGCGGCCGCTTACACGATTTTAGCCTCATGGGCAGCCGACTGTATTTAATCATACAGTAGGTGGGCTAACTCATGAAATGTCAACCGACATTCCGAAAGGCGTTTTTGTTTCGAAAATACTAATTTAGTAGGTTTGTAAAACTAATCATCATGCAGCATAAATCTATAATAATCCAGTTACTTCAGGATGGCGGCTGCCGGATGAACTTCTTTCCGGCTGCATGCAAAACCTACTCACCGTGATAAATGACTACTTCAGTAGCATGCATTTTTCTCAATGATTTTCAATGCCCTTAAAAATTCAATTATATTCCATGGAAAACATGCATAACAATATTCATTCTTTTTACTCATTCGGTAGAAAATGACGTCTTCTTCCAATCTTATACTCGAAGGAATGGTAGTATTCGGTTTCCAAAAACTTTTTTTAATTCCCGAATAATTTTGAACCTGACCTGCTTTCACATTTGCATTCAGGGTTTCCAAATCACAAGCCGTGTACTTCTCACATACGGAAAACTGTACATTTCTCTACGGTATTAAGAGGAGACCATATGGGGTTCATAAAATTTGGCAGTGGATTTGGGCCATATTGTTAGCTTTACAAGCCACATTGGTGAAAGCAGAGCCATGACGTTTTATGAATGGCCATTTCAGGGTATTAAAAAATCTCACAATCAGGAACTTTTTAAAACTAAATGCAAGTGTGACGGCAGAGCGGGTTCAAAATTATTCGGGAATTAGAAAAGTTTTTAGAAACCGAATACTACCATTCCTTCGAGTATAAGATTGGAAGAAGACGTCATTTTCTACCGAATGAGTAAAAAGAATGAATATTGTTATGCATGTTTTCCATGGAATATAATTGAATTTTTAAGGGCATTGAAAATCACTGAGAAAAATGCATGCTACTGAAGTAGTTATTTCTCACGGTGAGTAGGTTTTGCATGCAGCCGGAAAGAAGTTCATCCGGCAGCCGCCATCCTGAAGTAACTGTATTATTATAGATTTATGCTGCATGATGATTAGTTTTACAAACCTACTAAATTAGTATTTTCGAAACAAAAACGCCTTTCGGAATTTCGGTTGACATTTCATGAGTTAGCCCACCTACCGTACATTTATGTATCAGCTAATCATAATCGTCCTTGGCTCCCGGGTGATACCCACATACGTCTGCCGCCCACGAACCAACCGACCAACGGGCTTTGTTTGTTTCGTTTGCGAACTGCTTCCCTGACGTAGAAAGCATGGTCGGTGTCTGCTACTGTCCCCTGACCTCTGCTACTAAATATGACTCCGTTTTAATACGAGAGTTCGACGTAGGTAATCTATCCTACGCAGCAACCAAACCTTCACGCTTCTCCGTCTGCCTACTTATCTTTTTCCTTTCCATGCGAATTACCTATTCTAAACTTGTTAGCAAATTAAGGACAGGCCATTTGGCCCATAGGAATCTCGTGGTTGACAAGGCCAGCCAGGCAGTTTTTTAAGTATGCAGTTTTGAAAAGTGTTGCAAAGTACATGAAAAGGAAATTGTTGCAATGGATTAAAAATCAAATACACAGGTTAGCTTGAAGAGGTGGTATTCCAGAAGTGGCGTTTTGTTCCAAACATCTCAAAAGGCTGTCGCTAAGACCGACTGCAGTCAGAGGAATCCACTACTATAAGTGAAAGAAAGCTCAACCAACCAGACTGCATGTTATAATAATTACGCGTTGACATATCAGACTTTTAGAGTCGATAAAACGTTTGGCTTTCCCAAAATAACCTGCTTGTTCACATGCTGCTTTGCCTGACTTGCGCGGACTAAAAAAGTTATTTTTTAGTGTGGCATGTTTTGTTTGGCAAAACTCTCAAGGTTGAATGACTCTTCTCTCACAGAAGTACACAAATTGATGCACAAACTTAGTCCAAGCTAGCAGCTAACATAGAAAATAGCCTGAATATAAAGTAACTGAGAATTCCGCTGAAATTAGTATCCATTTGCCTGATAAGCTTACTTACGTTTACATACGCTGCATGCAAAAAATAATTTCCGGATGATGCTAGGCGGATAAGAGAAATGCGCATTAGTGTGCCTTAAATTGACCATCTCGATTTCCATCAGCACATTTCATGAGTTAGGCTGTATACTATATCAAAGGTTTGAATGCATGTGTCAGACATGCATACTGGTGCCGTCAAAAAGATGGAGTAAAGGGTGGTTGTAAAGCATCCAATGCACCGTTGGGCCAGAATAGGTCTCATAGTAAGTAAGAAACCAGGTGACTTGATGGAACACTGGTGCACTTGGAAAGGTAGTGTCTACACTTTGACTTACGGACACTTACAGATAATCAGTATTTGTTCTTTTTTGTGGTTTTAGACTAGTTGAACACTTCGGGAGTCCACAAGTTCACTCCAAACATTTGTCCGTTTACGGAATGTCTACAGTCGTCAGTGAGTTAAGAGAAAACAAAGTAGTGAATAGGGTGATTTCGAGAAGGCTAAGATGCATGAGGTTGAGTAAGCAAACGTCATCGGCCCCTAGACGTAAAGCCTGGAACTCAAATATTCAGAGTAAGAAGGCAGAAATGGCAGGATTTCAGACCCTTTAGTCTTTGGAATGAGCCACTCGATACAGATGAGCAGCAACTGTCTACCAAATAATAAGCCCAGATGACTAGTGTTGAGCAGAGAGCACCTCCTCTACAGGTTAACAAATCAAACAAACTGCTACAAATTATAGTTTGAAACATGTACGTGAAGTAGATTTGCCCTCTTAGGTTTGCACAGAGTGATTGGTAAATTAACTCCCCTAAAGTTTATACTTACACGGTTTGTTTGTAGAAGTCAGGACCAGTTAAGCCAGACCCACCGTCTTGCATGAAATTTCCCACACCTTGGCACCCAATTTATCGTCTTTGGCCTTGGGATTTGTCGACGCCAGAGCACAGTCTGCATAATACCCTCCATTCTCTAACTCGGGCGCCAGGACGGTGTATAGGGTTGTCTGGGCACCTTCCCATTCGTTTTTCATGAAGGGGCGGCTCAGGGCACGAAATACAACCGTAAAGAAAAGACGAGGTTTAAGAGACGGTTTAACAGAAAACAGGAAACGAGCGCTCGATAGCTGGAAAAGTCACTATTTTCTTCTGGGCTTCCGAAACTCTGCAGGAAGCTACCATCAAAAAGAGTAAAAAGATGTAAATACTTTGGTGCCTTTGGTAGTTTCGCACAGCACGTCGATCCTTGTGTCGTTGCTTTTAACCTCTTCGTCTGCGACCAACCGAGGCGATATCAACGGAGAACGGTGGCTTGAACAGGGGATTGTGACCACTCCATTGCAGTTGTATCTGCCTCAGAATGACGTGAATACTTATGACACCAGGACCTCCGTATCAGTGATCCTGTCTTGCCACTTCAGCTTTAGTATTCTGTGAAGGCTGCTGAGGCAAAAGTGATTCAATTTCTTTCCCTGGTTTTTGTGGAATGTCCTTGCCTCTGCCCGTACAAGAGCGAGTGTTTTCGGGATGGCGGTTCGACAAATCTGCAATTTCGTGTTCAGGCGCAAACCTCGCCGGTTCCAAACTTAGTGCTGTACCCGACCGAAGGCCTACTTGGCATTAGTGATGCAAAGGAGAATTTCATTGCCGATATTGATGCTTCTTGAAATTGCCCCCCTAGTCATGCAAATCAGTTCACAGATGGCAGGCGAGACTCGTTAACGCTAATCTTGTGCGCTGGTTGATACACGACCGCTGCCATCTCCGTCTTCGTGGTCAATCTGAAGTTAGAGTAGTCGGAGTTGAGAAGGCTCCCTCTCAGTTGCAGGCATACTTCCGTCAAGGCGCTAAGCGCGCAGTCACACGCGAACAGAAGAGCGTGAGCACTGATCGTGCAGACTCACGTGGTTGCCTGCATACTTCGGATGTCGAGAAACTGTTCGGCCGTTTATTAGGCAATGTTGATTTCTGCCCATCCCTCACGTTAGGCGCCCATCAGCATGCGGAAAATATCAAGCTAACGATGAGGAGGGGGGGGGTACCAGTACACAATCCTGCTTCAACCCGTTTGTCACCATGAATGCTTCAGAGACCGATCCATCTTTTGTAATATGTGCCACCATTTTCGTGAATCGATCCGGACACTCGAATTTCAGCATGATTTTCCGAAGTTCACTGGGGCTGTCTACGTCGAAGCTCTGACAAATTCCTTAAGATGGCATAGAGGCCAATCCCCACTTTTGTTACTTTCTTGCAGTTGACCAGTCGCCAGGATCATTTCGGCGTTTCCGCGGTTCCCTTGAAATGCACGTTGGCATTCAGGGGGGATTCCTTACTCCAGGCAAAGGTTTAGGCAATTGTGTAGGACGCAGAATCTTCATCAGAAGCTAATAATTTTCCCATCTTTCCTATAACTACTTTAGGAAATTGTTTTCGGACAGTTTTCCCTTTGTACAGCTGTACAAACCTTATCTACTTTTGGTTGGACAAATGAACACCGGCCAAAATTGTCCTGTTTGGTACCCAACAAAATGACATTTTTCCTTTTTGTTGTTTGGTCTTAGATTAGCAGCGAGTCGACAAAGTCTGTGAAAGTCTTAAGTGTGGCCCCAATATGCAAGCGATGTTAAATGATACAGTCGCATATCAGTTAAATTTAAACCGTTGACGATAGTCTAAAAGTTATAGCTGGCAGTGAAGGTTAATCACGTGCAAAATGTCGAGTGTGGGGATGTACAGACTGTAAATTTCAAAGAAATGGTAATTCCATTAGAAAAATGGTTGGTTTGCTGAGAAACCAAGAAGGGTGGTATGTTTCGTAGAGGTAGTTACCTCTCTAGACAACGGCACACTTCGGCACCGATTTCATATTCCCCCCTTCATGGTATTCATTACACCTGAGTTTAAAATACGGTCCATCTGCTATTTGCGAAACTATATGACTTCAGATGCGCTTTAAATATCCTGTTCTCGAAGTTTGTCTAAGCGGAAGTATAAACTTTTGTTCCTAAGTCATGGACTTGATTTCCGTTTAAGCCTTTCTTGTTGATGTTGTTGGTATTGATTTGTCCCATTGCTTTGAAGCTATTGTAGCTGCACTAATGTCTATCGCTTTTTTGCTCAGTAATCACTTCCTATTGTCTTCTAAGCTATACCTTTCCCCGTGATGAGGTGATGACTGGCAGAGACTTTTACCTCAGAAGGACACTTCTAGTGGTATGCCTCTTTCAAAGCCACAGTATCCGCTCACATTTCCTTCTTTTGTGTGTAGTATCGCTTTCTAGGGTCCCTCATCAGAAATGTTAATTTTTTTCGATTTTTCAGTTCATACAACGTGCACCTCACAGAATGCGCCCTATCGACGCTCTTGGCGGAACCCTCTGTATTGGCTATATACTAGTAGCCTGGTCGCATCTCCCTTGCCCCTTCCTGGGCTGGACTCGAAGCTGACTGTAACCGATCGCATCTCGGTTCCCATCGCCTCGAGACTGGTTTTCTATTGGCCTTTTTGACATGAATGGCCTCGTTCGGCATATGTATTCTGCTTTGATGATGCCGGTTTCGAACCTTTTACTCAATGCCACATACAGTCCAGTCCTGCCTTATCCGCCTACTTACCCCTTCATGAAATCCGTTATACACTGCCACATGGAGGCCGGTCCTGCCTGCTTTTTATACATTCAGAAGCGATAGCTTTTTCTCCTATAGTGTTAATCCAGTCATACTCATTTTGTTTATATGTTAGGAGTTTTTTTCACTGCTCGGTCATCATTCTTCGTAACATACTACTTATTCAATAACTATGAATTAAGTTTTGTGTAAAATCTGTATAACTCTTCTAAAATTCTAAAATTAATGTAAAAGTTATTCTTACTTGCTATGAACGGACTCCTGCGGGTCTTGAATAAAAATTATTATTATTATTAGACTGCTAGTGAAGTTTTGATTTTCGTCTGCTAGGCTACTTACCATAAAGCCCTTGTAAAGATCCGTCCTCACCACTCCTGGATGAACACTAACGGCAACGATGCCTTCGTCTTTGTGACGTATGGCCAGCTGCCTGGCGTGGATCACATTGGCCAGCTTTGACTGCGCATAGGCCTTCCAGCGTCCGTACTTCTTGCCACGAAGGTTCATGTCGGTGGTGTCAATCTGATCGTTCGCAAAAAGAGGCGACCTTTACTGTCGTACTGACTATAATGCTAATCATAGTGTTTTATAAAGTTTGCAAGGAGCCTCTGAATAACCGACTCTACAATGAAGACAAAAGACATTAAAATTAACGCTCAAATTCTGGAGAAATGATACGTCAAGGTCAGACGACGTTTGCTGTGAGGTCGAATCGAACCGCGAGCCTTTCCGCTTCCACAACCTTCCAATTCACGCGGTAATCTCTGCGTTTTAACCACTCCAACCGTATCTGCAAGCCCTATGGGCAAATCGATAGTCCCCTCTTCTTGAACCGCAAAACAAGCCTACTTTTTATCTAGACGTTTTTTAGCCTTACTAAAGTGTTTTCGTTTTATTTCCAGCTTAATTTGCACACTACATCAAGTGCACTAGGGGCTGTCAGTTACAGTTTCGTGCGCCTACCCCCTCAGACTTATATCAGGTTGGTGTCTGTGAATTCTGAAGAAGAGAATGTCGATTAAATCACACAGCCGACAGAATTGACAGAGAGAGTTCCGGTTTGTGGCTTACCTCAGAAATTAATCGCTAACCTGAAGGAAATCAGTATGATTTGAACTTTCTAGACTCAGACCGAAAGTTGATATGAATATTTGGGTCGAACTCCGTCAGCCACAGCGGAATGACCTCGTGATATTCATAAACTGCCAACAGGCGCCCAGTGGTATATACACAGATTAAATGATACAGCATAAGTGAAAGCAGAGGCACTAGCTAAAAGGCAGTGCATGCGCCGTCAAGTATGATGTATCATGTATCCTTTGCAGAAGTAACTCAGAACTCGTGTGCCCGGAACAGATTCGAGATGTCGGCAGTTCGATTCCGTGTCGAAACGAATGTCTCTTGACTGTTATCTCCTTCCTTATCAGAATCTGCATTCCCGAAAAGTTCGATTAAAGGAATCTGCAGACCATTCTCTGTGCCCGACGTATTGCCACTGACGTTTGCCTATTATGCCTAGATTTGCCTCGGAAGTCTAACTTTGTATGCTATTTCCACGAGAGGAGCATTGCCTCAACAAAACGATCATGAGTAACATTTATGCTACCTCATAGAATTCTTGGCAAAACTTCCAATTTACGGTTTTTAGTGTATCGTGATAGCTTCAAGCGCTTCAGATTGTTTGTTGTGAGGATAATGCGCTGAGTCGTCGCCCCCACTGTCTCTTCCCATTCCCAGGCCCCAGTCACTGTCGGGGCTGGTCAGTTGACAGGTGTGGGGAATGGGCGCAGTAGCTGACATAATCTAATGACCTTGTCTGCGCGTGCCATACGCACGACCTGGCTCTAAAACACAAGCACCAGAAGTTCGCGCAAAAGGGCGTGGGGGCATGGGTCTTACATGCGCGAGAGTGCCGGAGTTCACGTTGAGAAGACGTCATTACCGCCTGACTTTTAGTCCACCAGTCGGCCGCTACACACAAGGCTGACTGTCAATTAACCTACGGACATAGTAACTCACTGTCATCGCACCAGACGGTTGGTAACCTACACTGGATTAGTAGGTCCCGGACATTGCTTGATGTCTTTAAAATAGTTGGTAAACGGGATGTGGCGTAATGTACGGTTAGACAGGGCGCAGCTAACGCACCAGCATGTTGGAGAGAGCAATTAACTCTGTAAGTCTTCGGAGAAGGAGTCTGGATTCACTCCAGCGTGGTCATGTGGGTTCCCACCGTTTACCAGCACATCCAGCAGAGCAGCCTCCTCGGAAAACCTCCAACTGATATAAAACCTTGGTATTTATTGGAACCCTCGGGAACAAAGTTATTAATAGTCAGACATCCGAGACAGTCAGGCCTATGGTCTGCGTTTGAAGGTTTGAAACCTAATAAAACTCCTGTAGTGTTGTAAGCGTAGCTAAGATTGCTATCGCTCTGGGAAGAAGCCCCAGTGGGTCTGCAAACTTCGCTATTCCAAAGGAGAAAACATAGCATGGGATTATCAGATTGCCAGCGTTTCAGCAATCTTATCTGGTGTAGCCATTTGAGAAGCAAGGATGGCGGGAATCGCGACTTAACGCAAAGTCGCAATGACACGTTAAAGCGATATATATAACCTACCTCACCGTGTTTGTGGGCGACTGAGGAGAGGCAGATGATGCGAGCGCCAGGTGCCGCTCGTCTGATAGCCGGCATCAAGAGTTCAGTGAGGAGGAAGTGACCGAAGTGGTTCGTGCCAATTTGCAACTCCAGGCCGTCCTCTGTCTCCGCGTAGGGGCAAGCCATGACGCCGGCGTTATTGATGAGGAAGTCGATGCGCGCCTCGCGGGCAACTATTCGTTGCGCGAATGCCTTAATCGACGCGAAGGAAGACATGTCCACTTCTTCGATTAGCAACTAGGGAGAAGACAAGGAGCACAACGTGAGGAGAGACGATTCTATTCGCGTACGGTGCGGGCTATGTATAATGGCTTAGGGTAATTCAGCGAACACCACCAAACATCTGTGCGTCGTTCACGTCTGTTTCCCCAATTTTCTCTATTAGTTAGTTTATATTTGTAGTGCAATTGCTCGGACATTTTCTAGATATACTAGACGCTACAGTGATGCCAGAAGAAACATAAAATCCCAACCCACTGCAAGAATAAAAGTCTGGAAGTAAATTAGAAATTCTGACAAAGCGACTTGTTTGCAGCTAAACTGACCGACTTGGGTCAGCGTAGCTGATGAGAAATATAATTCTAATAAAGCCAAATGATGGAGGAGCTAGGTCTCAAACATGTAAATCATTGAAAGTGTTGAAGGAAAAGGAAGCTCCGGAAGTGGCGAAGCAAGTAAATGAGAAATCATGTTGGATAATAATTAACGGAACGCAATTCCCTACGTCTTGGCGCGCACACTATGCTTCTTTGCCTAATCACAATTATTTTCCGACAACTAACTGACCTGGATGAATGTGCTATCCAGAGATGCTGGTTAATTAACTCGTCTTCATAAGAAACACCGTTTATGTGCAAGGATATCCATTATAAACGGAGGCGCCGACAGCTGAAAAGAAGGAGTTATAAGTAACTTTGCTGTTTAGAGGAGACCTTACCAGTGAAATTCTGCCTTTCTCGAGTTCGGCTATTGAACCCACGTACCAACCAGTGAAGATAGACCTGCTTTTCTCAAGAACTTCGCTTCTTCGCTTTAAAAGGTAAGGATGGGCTGTCCTTTCAGACTTCTGCAATGCGCATCTTCCTCCTGACTTTCTCCTGTGACACAGGTTATTTTGGTCGAATGACAAGGTGCCTGTCCAAACAAATGCGAGAACACCATCCTGTTTAGTTAAATTGAGGGACTGAAAAGTTCCTATCTGGCGAACATTTGGTTGATAGGAGGCAACGAGTAGACATCAGTCAAGCCCGTCGAATCACCTACAAAGTGTCGGCGAAGAACACCAAATTCCTGCACCACCGGATACATGCGACGGTGCCCATAGGGTTAGCCAACCCAAACCTGTGCTCTCAGGAGGCGTTTGTTCAAGCCCCAGGCCAAGGTTGAGCCCCGCATGTTCTTACCTGCGTCCTAATACGCCGCGTTACAGCGATGAACCACAAGCACAACCCACTGACACATTAGCCCCTCCCTCTGCCCCTGACCGGACGAGACCGCAACCATTGTCCCTTGTTTGAACATGTCTAGACATCATAAACTCTCCCCCATTACTTTCAGAAATTACTTCATGCTACCCTGATTTATATTAACGTACTGGCCTGATTATGGACAAACAAAAACGTACCTTCACCTTCGCCAACTTTTAGTTCTTCAATGGTTGCGTAGGTATCATCGCTGAGCATTCACAGTTTGAGGTCGAATTCATACAAAGTGAGTTTGGGGTTTCTAATTTGATCGATTTCTTCGAAATATGGATTTGTCTGTCGAAATATCCATATCAGTATTCTCTGCCTTTTATCAAACCTTATCCATCATTCAATAATTTCTGGCTAATCCTTCCATTCCCTTGGTCTCAGAACAACGCTCCTGATCCACATTGTAACAACTTTTGTGCTTCTATTTCTGTTATCTTTGTGGTCTCTAACGGCGAATAGTTCTTCGTCTCTGTGTCAGTTTCTGTTTTTGTAAATTCCGGGCTTCATCTTACCTTAAAATCTGCAGTGAATTGATTTCACTAGAACATAGCAAAAATAATCACGCGTTTCATATTGGCGGGGGCGGGCAACATTGCATCGAAGCATAGCAGGATGTTTGTTCGCAGGGCTGTTGTTGACAGGTTCACCGTTATGCTTAACTCGGTTTTGAAAAGGTCCTTTTGCAATTTAACATTGCGCACACACATGAGTCCCCCACGACTCCATGGTCTGGTTTTAATATCATGTTCACCTCTTCACACCAACCCTTTGAAGGCAGCAACGCTTAACCGTAAAAACGTGCTACGCCTGGATTCGTCTTATAGTTTATTCCATGGCGAAGGCATTAGTGAAGCCAGTTATGAGCGATGAAGCGGGAATGTTCTCGTTAGGGACCTAGGGACCACAGGACGGCTGCAGGAACCAGCTGTCAATTAGTTTTCTGTCCGCATTGATGCTCGTGGCATGTTTGCCAGCCTACTCTCTACGGGATACGTTGGGGCTTATTTGTTCAAAAGCCTTTTGGACGTTTGACGTTGCATCACAACTGACCTCTCCTATGAACTAAGGATGTGTTCGACCTTCCGACCGCCTTGTGACACTTGAAAAGCAATGGGCACGTGACCGGTTTGTACACTAATCATGAGCTACAACTTGCAGAGGAATTGTTAAGGATACACACCTATTTCCTGCCTACCTGCTCTGGCTTCACCGGCGTGATACACTTCTTGACAGTCTCATTAGCGACATTCTTTGTCAAGGCCTCAGGCTTTCCTTCGGAGTAGCAGTCGAGGATCCATTTCTGTGCCATCTCTGCTCGCTCTTTGTTTCTACAGGCCATAATCACCTTCGCGCCTCGTCTGGCCAGTTCGGCGGCTGTTTGCTTCCCAATCCCGCTGTTCGCCCCAGTGACAATCGCCAGTTTGCCATCCAGGCGGCCGGCCAAAAGACACAGGGCTTTGGGCATAAGGAAGGCCTTTTGCTCAAGTTCCAATTTGCGGTTGCGATGGGTCACTCCTCCGCAAGCTCCTCTCGCCGTTTGCCGCAACAGCATTGCAGTGGGGCTTTTTATAGAGTTATGTGGTTGCTATTGGAGATGCTTCCACATCCAATTAGAACGGGCTTCTTTCGAGCATCAGCAGTAGACCAGCCAGTCTACGCGCATGACGCCATCACGTCAAACCTGATTAACCAAGACTGGTAGCGCGCACCGTCAATGCTCTCGACCGTTTTCTATATAGGCAAGGCCTGTCAGATTCCCAGGGTTTACTTTAAAAGTCTCCCCTGTATTCAGTGTACCGAAGGATTAAAAGAATCGGTAGGGGTCGGTTACGCTGTCCTGGTCCCAAGTGTAAGCACAATAGGGGCATTGCAAGTAAAGTAAACCGAAGTGGCATGCAGAAATCGTTATTGGAAAAGTAGCCAAAGCTAAAACCGAGAAGACAATCTGATGTTTCGGTTTAGAGGTAGGGCCATTTTTAGGGTTTGTGTTAGTTCCAGGCTGAGAATTGAGTTTAGGGTTAGGGTTTGTGTTAAGTTTAAAGGTTCCGGTTAGAGCTGGGATTTGGATTGCGGCTCAGGTCTGCGTTTAGTGCTAAGTTTGGGGTTAGAGTTAATGTAAGGATTAGGGAGGGCTACGATTAAGGCGAGGGTTTGGGCTTCGGTCAAGGTTAGGGTTATGGTTAGGGCTAATTTGTGGTAGGTTCAGGGCTAGGTTTGGTGTTAAGCTTGAGATTAGCGTTAGGTTTATAAGTACGTTAAGGATTAGGCTTACTTTTAAGGGTACGGTTAGGTGTACCGTTAGTTTTTGGATGTTGCTGTCCCGCGTTTTCTGTCACTCACGTCTTTTGTGGGGATTCTAGGCTTCCTTCGATCTCACGGTAGATTTCTAATACATCAGGTTGCTTTTCTCGTTTTAGCCTCGACTATGTTTCCCACTGCCGATTTCAACATCTCCCTTTAGTTTACTTTCAACGCCCAAATTGCGCTTACACTTGGAACCAGGACCGCGTGTTCGACCCCTGCCGCACAAGTGCCTCGCCTCCTCAATGCCAACCGTCAACCGCTTCCAACATTCCCGCGCTGCCAACGCGCATTCCGCATACGAATTGGTCTCTTTTCACACCTTCGGACCCAATGCGCCACACTGTCGTCGCCCCGCCGCCACCATCCGCCCTGCACCAACCCCTGCATCGATCGCAGCGACCAGCGCCACCACCACCACCACGACATCACGCACTCCTCTCACCATTGGGACTTTCGACGTCCCGTCAACTTTAAACATCACCAACATCCCCACCTCCAGCGATATGGACTAGGTTCATACCCGTCCTAATTGTGGTGGCACATTCACCTCACACATCGGCCTGGTCGGTCACTTGCGAATCCATCGCACAGGAACTGACAAACCAGTGCCTGGAGCACCAACGTACATTCGCCACATCTGCCTCAACTGCCCAAACTGCACCCGCACGGCATGGACCTATTAAGACACACAAGCACTCACGAAAACCTGCGGTAGTCAACCGCCGGCTACACCACACAATCACACTTCCCCCACCAGCACCCGTACCTACCACCCACCACCATCACTGATCACAAACACCTAGTTGCCACCTCCACGCAAGTGAGAAGTGTACTTCTTGGCTCCTTCGCCGTGTGGCTGCATGTATGATCCGAGTCTGAGACTACCACGGTGCGACAAGCGCCGTGGCATGGGAGGCTGCCGACTGACGCCCAAATTCAGTCTACGCAGTCTGCCCAGTTGTAAGTGCCTGTGTGGAGAGGCGGACTGGAGGGCTGAGAGTCAGGCTGTCACGGTTCCTTCGTTAAGTGACCAGTGGCACTTTCACGCATCTAAGGAGTGTGTGTTAATTAATAGGTAGTGCCTTTTAATCGCGGACTGACTGGTTACCCAGCCTTTGAAGGGTGATGTCCCAGGCAAATGCGGAGCTGTGTCACCCTTTTGGATCTTTTGTGAACGTCTGCTATGCCATGATCAGCAAAACACGACCCCCGACGCCCGGTGTGCCCCGACAGTTCTTCGGTACCTGGTCCTCTGGCGGTAGATGCGCCTACGCACCCGCTGGGTATACAGGTCGTGAGCATGACTGCCCAGTCATCCTCGCCCTCTGACCCATCGTGGTGTTGTTGTTGGTTAGAATCCTGGTCAGTTGTGCTTTTGATCAGGAGGTATGCAGTGGAACGCCAATGTGCGGGCTCGACCGTGCCATCTGTTATGTATGCAAAACAGATGGCTAGTTGTAGACAGGACGTGTACAGGGTACGGGATACGGCACAAATAAGTAGCTTCGTATAAATGGCTGGGCATATGGCCAGGGAAATGTCGCAGACTGAAGGGTGGCCAGTCAACACCAAAGTTGTCTGAACGGGAGTACACGACGTTGGTCGCGCGCATGTGGCGTGATGTCTAGATAGTCCGTGCAGCATACTCTGCACCATCCACCTGCGTTCTCCCCGCCTCCGGTCTTCTTGACCCTGCCTTGACACCGGGCTAAGGTGGGGGAGGTGGAGAGAATGCGGTATCTGCAGCGCAAGTCTGCGCTCACTATAAACTACTTCGCGCGCAAGTCACCTTGCCTGCTCCCCCCAGCTGTGGAGCACATGGTGGACGCCGTCGGATGCGACGCTCGAGCATAGATGAAAATTCATAGCAAACACCGCTTCTCAAGCATCCCTTGCATCAGCACACCCTACGCGCACACATAGACCCACGCAGACGGGTTGCAGTGCAGGTGAATTAAACAAAGGCGGAGGAATCCTGATGTGCTACACTGAGTCTGCGCAAGTCCCTTGCTGCTGCCACACGTGCGGGTAACAAGTGTAGACGGAGGCTTTCATGATGTCAGTCGCCAGCTGGCGACACGTTTGGAAAGCCGATTGGGGTAGGGGAGATGGAGAAATGTGTGTGGCCGATACTGGCGAGGAAGCCGTCCTTGTGGCAAATCAACGCTTTCGTTGCCAAGATAAATCCGATTCACTGGAGTCTTTTGAAACGCGCGTCGGAGATTGTCAGCTGACGTTATAACTCAGTGCAGTAGCTCACGCTCATTAGGCCTTTATGGAACTCCTACATGGGATCCGCGGCATCCACTCAATGGACGTGTGGGAGAAGGGACCAGGTAATGGGAGACATGCATAGACGGGCTGTTTAGCTTTTCCAGTCATGGCACCCACGCGCACTGGCGCACTGTCGATCATCTTGACTTTGTTTTATTATCGGAGGATGGTGGCTGCGGAAGGGAGAGTTAGGCAACTGCACCTAAGATCTTTGCTTTGAACAAATTCACGCGCAAAACACCACTGGACCCATCTAATAGAACAGAGCTGAACCTTGTAGTCCGCATCAGTTGTTCTGTCTGTCTTGTATGACATTGCAACGTCCAAGTTACATGTCCCGACAGCTTACTGCTAGACCGTTTGGTGTCTACAGACGTCCCTCGAAATTCGAGGTGATTTTTATATATAAAGAAGACGTGACAAATTGAAACCAGTCCTTAATTCAAATTGTTCAGTCTCGTCTGCTCTCTGGAATTAGTTCTACTTCGTCTATGAGCACACCGAACTGAAACAGCTTGGCTAAGGTCCTTAGACAAAACCATAGACGTCCACCTATTCAAACTTCTCAAGATCCAGATAGACAATGCAATGGCACTTTTGAAGACAACATAGATGACGACGGCCGTGGCGTCTCGCTCGAGACGGCGGGACTTCTATTGCATTTAAAAGAACAGATTGTTGAGGCATGAATTAGATTGCTTCTGTTTTTATTTCGCCAGTTTAAAGTGGCGAAGACAGTTAGATTTTCCGCAACTCTTTATGCGCCAGGCTCTCAAACCTAGCGTCCAAGGAATGGCACTTACAGCTGTCGGCATTATGTAATTGCCAAGTACTGATCGATTGATTCTTCTTTGCAAACACATGCAAGTAGAACTTTCGCAGACGTCTGTGCCGCAGGTTCAACTAGCTCATTCGCTTGACCTTCAGGAACTGTCAGTAACTCGGTGATTTACTGTCTTAGAGCGAGCGTTTTGGTTTGTTTTCCTCCGAGGGTTCCTCAAGCATTCCACTGAAGGTCTTGAACTGGGCTTGATACGTTGACGACCCTCCGCTCATGGGGCTGGACATTATTTTTTGACTGGGATCTCTGGCGAGTGTTTTGGAGTCCCCTCTTCTTCCTGTCCGTCAAGATAGCATCTGAGACTCCATACTAGAAATGGTTTGATCTAGGAAATCCAACACCTGACAGTTTGAGCTTGTCACACGGCTCCGCCCACGGTTTCTCGAATTGGTTTATTATCTAACACCACACGGGCCTTCCTGACGACACATCCAGTCCACAATTCATCACAGGGAACTGAGGTCAAGGTCAGACTGTTTGTTTCAAATTTGAAGACGAACGAGCGATATTATACAAACAGGCTTACTTGCTCACCTCATGCAGATCGAATTTCTGTAAAGGCTGCGCAGATTGTGGGTTCATAAGATACCTTTTTTTTCGGAATTGAAGCGAAGACCTTATCAAATGCTTGTTCTTTCTGTCCTCGAATATTTCGGCCCTTTCTTTGATTTAATAAATGTCTGTGACCGTAGTAAGTTCAAAAACGTTCGGGGAATTTCTGTTTGAAGACTCTTCCCCCGTGCTGGATACAGTATTTCTCACACCGAGAGACATCAATTGGTGAACACTAAGTCTATCTGGGTAAGAAGACTTGAAGCTGGCCTTTGCTTGCTGTTTCGCATTAACTCTAACCCGAATCTTTCGTACATTGACACTCACTCCGATAGATCGGTCTTATGTCACGCTCAATTCCCTCATAGTGATTCTGCCACCTCTTTCTTTACATGTAAACGCTCCCTCTTTTTGCATCCAAATATGCCTTCCTTTGGAATAATCATTCACTAGAACTTAGGTCATCGCCTAAATTACCGGTACCCCAACCGAAATTACGTAAGCACCTACCCTCGGACCGTTTTTTTCCCGAACACTCAACTTCTGGTTCTCTTGGAATTAAATGACAGGTAAAACATGTT